TCCACAGACGCACTGTACGGCTGTGTGGCTGGCTCTCAGGCTGGGCGGAGTCCACCATCTTGCTGGTCACTGCCCACGTCCCACGTGCTCTCTGCCCCCCCCGGCCCTGGATCTGCATTATTCTCTTCATCGGCTTGCGTGGCTGTCTATTTTCTATACATGTCTCGTGTTGGAAGTTATGGAGTATCTTGGGCCTGTGGCTTGCAGTGTTTATCGAATTTTCGGTCATTATTTCTTGAGATGTGTTCCTGTACACCTGGAGTGCCACGCAGCTCACTGCATTCTCTCCATTCTCTCAGTCTCTTCTCCGTGTGGTTTATTTTGGGCAACTCCTGTCACCAGGCCCCTTCAACTTTTAAGTCTATGTGCTCCTTTTTTTTTTTTAAAGCATTTTTAAAAATCTAAATTAAAGGGACCAGCAGTTAGCATAATGGCCATGTCGCTGGACTCCCATGTAGTTGACCATGGTTTGCATCCTGGACCCTGTGGCTTAAAACTCACGCCGGGCGCGTGTGCGTGCATGCCCAAGATCCCGAGAGGAGAATGGAGGAGAAGGGATTGCGGCGTGGCCCTCCCCCCCCCCCCACCCGAGGGGGAGTGATTTCTCGCTTTCTATCTCTCTGTCTCTCTCTGTCTGTCTGGCGAGCGCACGCGCCCTATAGCAAAAAGCTCTCCAAAAAAAAAAAATTCTAAATTAAAGGCATTTTTATTTTTAAAGAGGGCAAGTTGAGAGATTTTTAACAGGGTCTCGTTGAGTCCCAGTTCTCTGCTCCAGCCTCTCAGCCGCCTGGGCCCATGGGCATGCACCTCTGGGGCCAGACCGCTTGGGCCGTAGGCCGCAGCCATGTAGGCATCACCTTACCCCTCGTGCCGCTCTGTCCGGGCCAGTTCTGCTCATTGTACCCAAACAATGGAGCAGTATTCTGGCGCACGCAGGACGTGTTGAGCTGCGCCGCTGACGTTCTGCACCCGTTACCGAGCACTGCAATGTGTCGGGCTGGCTGCTGGGTACTGGAAGCCATCACGACTTACCGGTACTTGTGACTAATAATGGGCTTCTGCTCTAGGACAGGAGGAGCCTTTTTTTTTTTTTTTAAAGAGATATTTTTGCTATAGGGCACGTATGCTTGCCAGAGGGACAGAGACAGACAGGGAGACAGAAAATGAGAAATCACCCCTCAGGAGGGTAGGCTATACCTCAGTCCCTTTTCCTCTATTCTCCTCCGAGGATCTTGGGCACACACGCACACACTGGCATGAGTTCTCAGCCGCTGGGTCTGGGATTTCAGCAACAGTTGACCATGTGGGAGTCTAGCAATATAACCATGACGCTATCTGCTGGGCAGAGGAGCCATTGGAGGGACTGTCACACTCATCAACTGGCCCATCCTGAAGGCCCCGGCTGACCCTTCCAGCTCTCAGTGCTGGTCAGCTGCTGGGTCCCCCCTGACCAGTCCTGTCCCTCCACCCTGTGCCCTTAGCATTGCCTGGGGCTTTTCCTGATCATGGATGACCCCCCGCTGTGGGGAGGCATTGCCATGGTCGCCCTATAAGTAGAGTTGTTAATTTATGCTTAACAAGAGGAGCCCACATGAGGCCAGCAAGTGGCATGGTGGTTAAGATGGCTGGACTCCCACATGGCTGACCCCAGTTCAAATCCCAGACCTGGTGGCTTACTTTCTCACTTTCCCCCTCTCTCCCTGTTTCTCTCTGGTCAAATTTAAACAAACAAACAAACAAATAAATGATTCTTTAAAAAAAAAGAGGAGCCCACGTACTTGAGGCCAGGCCTTCTACGTCCAGTGTTTTCCTGTGCGTTTTCCCATGACCGTCCTCATAAACTTGTCCTTTTGTGGACAGGCATGGACCCCGCTCTCTCCCCAGCAGGCTGCCCAAACTGGGAGGATTTCGTTCTTTTTTTTTTTCTTTTTTGAGAGGTTTTAGCTATAGGGTGCCTGTGCTCACCCGAAAGAGAGAGACAGAGAGATAGAAAGCAAGAAAGAAATCACCCCCCAGGGGAGATGGCCATGCCGCAATCGCTTCTCCATTCTCCTCTCGGGACCTTGGACATGCACACACACGCACCCAACATGAGTTTAAGCCACTGGGTTCGGGACTTGAACCGCAGTTGGCTACATGGGAGTTCAGGCACATAGCCATTACACTAACTGCTGATCCCAAGGATTTCTTTCTGATGGTTGGGTTGTCTCCCTCTAGGCAGTGGCAGTCCCTGCAGGCTGCTTCCTTCATCCCTTTGGCATTCCCTCTCGGCACCCTGGACACCCTGGAAAGCCTAGCTGTGGTGACAGCACGATGTTCTGATCCACCCTGACTTCCCTCCCTCTGGGCAGGATCAGGCACCCTCCCTCCAGGCCTGCTTC